GTCATTATCCAGGGATCAAGCAAAAAATGAGAACATAACCACCCTAAAAATCATTCATATCCCACCAGTTTTCTTAGTTGTATAAACCCACTCAATATTACTGTGCCATTAAAAGTCACCAGTGTGTACATAAGTAATTTTGTTTTAATCATTAAACTACTGGTAGGTCTAACGGCAGATCAAAGCTGTAGCTTGCTCATTGTGCTGTGAGCTTTCCATTTGTTGTGATGCTGAATCACCCACTACTACTACTACTACATAATAAAGCTTCTCAAACATTAGGAGCACTTTTTTTAAAAAAACTATAGTTAAATAGAATGATACATCACAGAAATAGGCCACTTGGCACTAGTCCATGTCGGTGTTTGTTTTGTACACGAGCTCCCACCCTTCCTAATCCCCTCTTCCATACCTCTCTATTCCCTTTTGCCTCATGAATGCTTCAAATTTCCTTTTAAATACAAATTCTCTCCACCTCTTTATTTTAACTCTTACTTTTGCAATTTCTGTTCTATTTTTATTACTTCCTTCCTATTCTAACCTATTTTTTCTAATGAAAATGTCCCATTTATGTGTCTTCTTTCCTCTTTGCCACCATTGTCCATTCTGGAACAGAGAGGAGCCAAGTTATTCCTCACTGCTTAAAAAAATAGCTTTGCAGCCAATGACCAGACTGCAGATCAACAAAACCTCATTGTGGTTGTGACCAGGTGATCCTTGACAGAAAACACAGCAAATCAATAAGTGGGAGCAGTGAGTGAAGGATTATGTGTTGAAGAGTTAAATTAGGTTCCCAAGTTAGTAAAAGCATGCTTTTTTAAAAAAAAAAATCCATTAGGCAAAGTAAACCCATGTTGTCAAAATGTATTTGTAGATCCACTGCAACAAACATTTTTTCTAAAACAAGTCTCATCAGAGAAAAGTATTCCACAGAGCCTTCTAGTGGTCTCACAGGGAAATCCAGCCACACAACACCCTCCACTTCACAGAAGATTTATTCCTTGGCACTAGATTTAAGAACTGATTGTTCCATCCTCAGTGAGCACAAAGTGTGAATACAGCATCTGTTATATCTTATCCATCATCTCCCAAGGAAATAGTAAACCCGGCTTCACTTGAGTGAAATTCCCATGGCAGTAATGTCACAGAACAGTCATTAGGTACTTGAATTGCACCCACTATTTTTGAGTAACAAATTTCCATGATCAATAGGTAGAAAGGCAGAGCAACACATTTAAACAGATGCAAAGCCCAAATATATAACTTTTGTACAGAACTCATGTACAGAACCATTCTTCTCATTTCCAAGTTGTGAAGGACAGCATTCATTTTTGGACTGAAATACGTGATTACCGCCCACTCATGGTCCCAGTTAGGTCAATTACAAGAAAGGGTATTGTAAACTGTTTTTTTTAAAAATCACATGAAACATTTAAAATTTTTCAGCATCAGGATTTCCTGAAATATTTCTTACAACAAAAATAACAACTTGCATTTATGTAGCGCCCTTCACGCAGGGTAGCATCCCAGAGCGCTTGACAGTGGTGGAGTCTGACCCCGAGCCAGTGGGAGAGAGAGGTGACTGCAAGTATGATCCAGAAAGGAAGGTCTTTAGGCAGGATTTGAAAGGGGGCAAGGTGGAGGGATTGAGTTGACTGAGGAAGGGACATTCTTTACAAGAATGTTGGCGAATTAGAAATGTCATCTGGTTCTGTACATATCTGTATCCAATAAGAATTACTCTCAAGTGGTGCAGTGAACCTGAATTTCACAAATTAGTCCTGCAGAAAATTACCAAAGTATTAATATTTTACAAACTTATGACATTGTTATACTACCAACCCAAATTGAAGTGTTATATTGGTTTAACACTTCAGTTTGGGTGAAACCCCCAAAACCCTTAGACACGCATTCACAACATCCAGGCTTGACTATGCAAACTCCTTGTTTGTCAGCCTCCCCAACTCCTCCCTTCATAGGCTGCAGATCATCCAGAACTCTGCAGCCTGTGTCCTCTCCCGAACCAGGCTCCGTGACTCAATCATCCCCATACTCGCCCGATTCCCACTGGCTTCCCACCACACAGAGGATAGTTAAAGATGCTGGTCTTCATCTTCAAAGTCCTCCATGGCCTCGCTCCCTCTTACCTCTGCGGCCTCCTAAACCCCTACCATCCTGCCCACTCCCTCCACTCAAGCCTCCTTCCCCCCCCGCCCTCAACCCTCCCCAATCCCAGCTCGGGTCCAAATTACTGACTATCAACGCCTTGGGACGTCCTCCCAACATGAAAGGTGCTATACAAATGTAATTTCATTGTTAAGATTTAATTTCTTTAAACGACTGGCATGGATCTCCCTATAACACATCATTTCTTTCTCTTTGAGTGTGTGAAGAAGTGAAACTGGGTGAGCAAGATGACTCTCCCCTGTAGGCCAAGGCTGTATTCCAATAAAAGGCTAGTGTATTTCATCCAATGGGTAAAACGTGGATCAAAAAGTACAGTTTGTGTAGGATAATGTTGCGAAAAGCTTCCCAAAGACAAAGAGAAACCCAGAAAGGGAGGAAAGATTAATTTAAAGGTGGAGACCAAAGCTACATTCAAATAGTTTTTTAAAGTGAACAAAAAAAAGGAGCAAGGCAAAGGGATTTGGGGATAGTTCCAATGAGTGTGGAACAACAGCTGAAGGCTTGGCCATCACAAATGGTAGGGGACAGTAAAAATAAAAAAACAAGCAGCCAATTAGCATCGGAGAATGGAGGATATTGGCAAGAGGATAAGACTGGAGAAAATCACAAAGATAAGAGGTGAGAGTGTGAAGACAATTGAGTCAACCCCTGCATTACAGGAGTCAATGGAGCCTGGCGAAGATGGTGTAGAAGATAATGGGAGCTGCAGACCGTTTGGGGGAAGCTGGGGAAAGATGATCAGAGGACTGGATCACAATAGCACTGCTATTCCCAGGGTTTAAAGGCTGCCACCTGATATTCCCATGGGGTACATTAGGCACACATTCATTGGAGCGGAGGAGGATGAGGGGAGAATTGACTAAAGTGTTCAGGATCATGAAGGAGTTTGACAAAGTAAGGAGTGAAAGCGTTTTCCTTCTAGAAGGATAATCAGTCACTAGGTGATATGACCTAACAATTAAGACAAAAACGGTTAGGACTGAATGATGGATGAAATTCATCACCCAGTAAATAATAAGCATTTGAAATGAACTGCTGCAGAAACAAATAAGTAAGAAATCAGTTAAAGGATTTATGAGAGACAGATGTATATTTGTTGAGTAGACCTATTAAGGGGTACGTATACCCTGAGGATGGGCTGGGTGGTGGGATTACAGGAGGAATGCAGTACATTGACTTACACCTGTACAATCGTTTATCCGAATAGCCTCCTGATGTAAACGCTCCAGAACACTAGCCCGCTTGAAAGGCGCTGTATAAATCCACGGTGTTGTATAAGAGATCATAAGGACCAAGCCCAAGACTACTCAATTCATTTCAGCCCATCAATCCGAGTTGAATTTGAACATTTCACAGAAGATGAAAGAACAGCATACTTAAAGTCACTGTACCACCTAGGTCCTTGGTGTCTCATTGATTTAGGGTGGTTAAGACGTGTATATTTACAGGAAGAAACAACTCATTTTTATAGCACAAAAAAAGGCGAAACATCTCAACACACTTAGTAGGAATTATGGTCATGTGCAGTGAATGTCTATAGGCAACGTGATCAATTTATCTAGAAAATCGATGACCACTAAGACCACGGGAAAACTTCCTTCTCTTTTCAAATTGTGCTAAGGGATCTTTAACATACACCTGAACAGACAGCTGGGTAAAGGACAAGTGATCATCAAAAGTATAATGTGAAGCTCAGGGTACTGGTGGTAGGATAAAAAGGGAAGATCCTTTTGAGAAAGAGATGACCACGAGAAGAATAAACATCTGTGAATATGGATTTCAGATAGTTATCAGGTAGTTGTAAACTACAGATAGTGGAGTCCTGTAGCTCAGTGGTTAGAGTACTCACCTCACAAGCGAAAACCTGGGTTTGATTCCCAGCAGGGTGAAACCTTGGGCAAGTTTCCTTACTCCACACACCTGACAATAATCCCTCAAGCAAATAAAGCATTTTGCAGAATATACTGTAAAGTGAATGGACTTGAATATTTTGTGGACAAAACGCGGCAGCCAATTGCACAAAGCAGTGTCCCACAAGCAGTTGTGGATTGAGTGACCAATTTATTATCAGTATCAATAGATTTTTTTGAAGGAATTATTACCCCGGAAAAGCAATGCACCAATTGATTAACAACCTGGTTCCTACTTACTGCTAAGTAATCAGAATTAATACAGATTAAGTAAATGGATAGAGGCAGGCTCACACAAGCATGCAAAGACACCTAATTTCTACACAGTTTTCATATCTGCAATGGGGATGGTCTCCTTTGCAGTGGATATTGGGCACTCGACTGTACAGTTGAAATTTTCACAAAGAATAGCCTTCCATATTGGATCCTCGTGTTAACGTGTGGGTTTGAAAACCAGCTTACTTACAGTTCGGTTCCTCCATGCCGATTTTGGATCTGCCATAGTTTAGAGTTCTGAGCATTGTTGACTCAAGGCAGCACCAACATCACAAAGCTGAAAATATCACATTCAGTACAGAACTCCTAACCTAGTAAATATGTAAAAGACAAATCAAATCACCCTTATCAAACAATAGAACTGCAACTCGAAAAATAAGCAAGATTTGGAAGGCAAGTTTAAAGTAAATCTCTACTGAAACATAAAATGTTGGAATTGCCTCAGCCGATCTATCAGTACCTAAAGCAGAGAAAAAGGATAACACCCTCAGCTAGGAACCTTCATCAGATCTGGGTCACACACAAAACCCATTTTTCCCTTCCAGGTTTACATTGACCAGCAATGGATTTCCAGTTTCTTACAATTTAGAGAACCTTTTCTTCAACTGAGTAAATCTTTATTCTTACCTCCTGACCAGTTAGAAAGAGGAGAACATCTCCCTCCTCTTCTTCGCACATATGGATCTGAATAACTGTCCGAATGGCTGACTCCAGGTAATCTCTCTCAGGTTCTGGGGTGTAGAAGATTTCTACAGGATGTGTACGACCAGGAATTGTAAGCAGCGGGCAGCTATCGAAGTAGATTTGAAACTTGCCAGCATCAAGTGTGGCACTCATGATGATAATCTGAAAGAGACAGTGCACATGTCAGTCTCAATGGATGTAGCAGCAGAAACAAACAAAACACAACCCCGATGTCTGGAAGCAAAAGAGTGGTTCTTTTGTAACTGCTGTGTAAAATAGTTCCTGCTGCTTGTAAAACAGAACTGGTCTGTTGGCTAAGCACAGAAATGCTGTCATCCCAGCAATAATGGCTATGCTTATTTACTGCGCAGCAAAAAGCAGCAATTGATCACTTTTGTTAATCCATAAGAGCTGCTAAAAGAGCAATATATTTGACCCACGAGACTGTAATTAAACACAGACTGCAGCTATAATTCTGAGGAGTGTAATTTGTGGAAAAGCTGGATAGATCATTGAAATGAACGGTATTTACAGTGAGCTTTTAAATTACCCCTGTGCAAAATCAGATGACTGAGACACGGGCTGCATATTTTAAACAGTTTTAAATCTTACTCAATAACACTATTCAATTTACAGTGATCTCCAATTATTTTTTTTTAACAACTCGACTATTATGGTTTGTGGGAAGCAAAGGGAGTGTTAAGTTTGCTGACTTTTCCCCTATAATTTAGCCTGTTCTTCACCTGCCTGGCCTGAAGGGGAGCAATAACTTGCTTACATACATCCCATTCCCTACCAGTAGGGGATGTCAGGGAGCAATCGCGCATCACATTCTCCAGTTTTTTCACTTTTTCATCATCATCCTATCTTTCCCACTGCCTTCAGGCTTGGAAATTGCGCAGCCACAAATCCCTCCACTCAACATGAATCACACTGGGGGAGTTAAACTGACTCCAATCCAACCCTCTGCACATACTCAATTTCATCCTAACTTACTATTTCTGGGCAAAACAAATTCTTGGACCATTAGTATTTCTTGAAGGTTTCGCCTACAAAACACATTGTGAAAACCACTTTACAGTATATCCTGTGAAGTTCCTGAGACATCTTGACAACTTGCTAAGGCGCTATATCAAATGCAAGGATTATTATTATTATTATATAGCCATGCAGACTACATTTTCCCAGCCACATTAGCTGGGCAAGTGGTATTCTGCACTTATGAGAAGATAAATTGTTCCTGTGGTGACGCCTCTTGTGGATTAACTGGGGAAATTATATCGTTGAGCACCCAAATGGAACACCATCAGTCTTACTGTTAATGCATTTCTCAATAAGCTGTATATTCGCCCACAAATACAGTCAATTCACTTTACAGTATATTCTGTGAAGTGCTTTGATACGTCTAGAAGACGTGAAAAGTGCTCTATCAAATGCAAGGATTAATATTATTTTTTTATAATTCTCCACATTGGCAATTTAGCATTGATTTAGCAGCCTTTCCCCTTCTCAAAAGGGACAACATACAACAACAACTTACATAGCCACTTAATATGAGTAGCATCTCAAAGCGCTTAACGGGAGTGTGATTTGACAACACTGGAAAAAGGAGAGGTGACCAAAGGTGTGGTCTTCAGGTGTGATTTGAAGACGGCCAAAGAGGAAGCAAAACAATAACATGCATTTATATAGCACCCTTCACTCGGGGTAGCGCTTGAAGGATTGAGGCAGGGAGTTCAAAGAGAAGGGAAGTCCCATTGAGGTTGCTGAAAGCAGGGATGCCAATGATGAAGCGGAGGGGACGAGGGATATTCAGAAACATAAGCCAGCTGAGCAAAAGAGGTAGTAATGGAGTGTGAGAATATTGCAGAGTTAGGGTGGTACCAGGGTTTGAAGTGATTTGAAACTGAGAATCTTGAGATCAGTCCATTCTGCAACAGGGAGCCAGGCAAGAACTGGAGTGATGGGGGTGTGAGCCAGAGGAGGCTGGTACAGGCGAGGACATGGGCAGCTGAGTTTTGGATCATTTGGACCTTGGTCATAGTGGAGCCGGGGAGACCAGCGAGGAGTGCATTAGAAAAATTGAGGCAATAGATGACATAAATGAGGGTTTCAGCATCATTTGATGTAAGACCGAGTTAAAGGAGGGAGATGGAGGAAGGCAATCCTGATCAGGGGTAAGAAGGCGACAGAATCCGACCCCAGGTTTGTTGAGTCAATAGGCAGGAAAGGTTGAGAATAGGACCATGGGGTACGAAGCAGGTGACTGTGCGGTGGTGGAAGGAAAAACCATTTGAGAAGATGAAATGGTGGTGGTGGGTCAAGTATGATTTGAACCAGGAGAGGACAGTCCCACTGAGGTGGATGATAGAAGAGAGGGAGGTCGAGAAGGATGGCATGATCAACTGTGCCAAAAAGAGTAGACAGGTCCAGGAGGACAAGGAGGCTGAGAGAGCCCTGGTCATACAGACATGACTTCATATGTAACTTTGACGAGCGCTGTCTCAGTGCTGTGAGTAGGGCGGAAACCAGACTGGAAAGAATCAAAAAGGGAGTGGGAGAAAAGGTGTGAGTGAAGTTAGGTGGCAACAATGCATTCTGGGACTTTAGAAAAGGGCAGATTTGAGAAGGGGCAGTATTTGGCAAATTTTGGTGAATCAAAGGTGTTTTGTTTTGAGGAGGGGAGTGATAACTGCGATTTTGAGGGGGAGCGAGGTAGTGCTGGAACAGAGGAACAAAACAGTTCTCCAGAAATCATTGCCACAGCTGACAATGACCAAGTAACACTGATCTGCACTTCATCTTATTCTTCAACAGAAACCGCAAATGCTCTGCTCTCTTCGTTCTCATCTTACCTTCAAATCTGATCTTTGCTTCACAACCTCTTTTAAGACACCCATAAGAATATCTGTGGCTAGAGTACGCTCGTGGGCCTCATCGAGGATGATTACACCATATCGTTCCAACAGTGGATCATTCATAGCTTCGCGGAGCAGCATACCATCAGTCATATATCTAAACAAAGTAAACAAGCGGGTAACAAACCAACAATTCAAAAAAAAACATTTTTTCAATTTCAATGTTATTTTTGAGATTATGGCTCTTTTCAATTGTACCACACATGAAATAAGATTTATTTTCAACAATCTAGTATACGCATTACTGCAGAAGGGAGACAACTGAACTGAAACCAAACATGAAGTTATGCTAATCATTACAAGACATGTGTACAGCAAGAGTTATGGAGGACTTTAATAATGTAATTAACCAATGAAGGATTTTAGATGACCGTTTTAAATCTTTCAAAACCAATTATAACTAATTTTTTTTTAAACACATGATATAGCGCCTTTTATGTCAGGAGGACATCAGAAAGCACTTCACAAGATATCCTGTAAGATGCAGTTTGTAAGCAAACCCAACAGCCAATTTAGCACAGAAATGTCCCACAGACAGCCAGACATATCTCCCTTTATTTGGGAGATTGCTGGCCAGGACACCAGGGGACACCGGGAGGAACTCCCTCCTCTTTTTTAATAATGCAATGGAATCCTTAACGTCCACCTGAACAGGCAGATGGGACTTCGGTTTAACGTGTCATCCGAAGGACTGCATCTCCGGCAATACAGCAGACCCCAGCAATGCATTGCAGTTTCAGCCAAAGCCCCGGCGTAGGGCTTATTCTACAACTTTCTGACCGACTCAAGAGGTCAAAGCGGCACCAACTGACCAGGATGACTACTAACTAGTGAGTCTTCCATAATTTAACCACTTTCCACCTGCAATAGAGCAGTTTCCAGTATCATGAAAGCAACAAGGATTTATCCAATGTAATTTTGGTTAGAGTAGTTCAATGACCAGAATAATATCTTGATGTGCTATAGCAAACTAACCGTTCTTCTGCATAATATTCTCATCAGTGTCAATGTTCATGCAACACCAGGTTTCCTACAAAACAGTTCTCAACATACTTCTAATTCGTTCTGTGCATAGATTCGGGGAACTAATTCAATAGTCTCGTCAACTTTGTGACTTGTACCAATTTCTGCACAAAATAGTCCTTGCAGGTATGNTTTTTTATGTAAAGCTGAGCATGGAGAAGTGACTCATGCAAAAAAATTAAATGCATTAAGGTCACTTTCAAGTTTAAAAGATCCCATTCAATAGTAAAACTGAGGATTTACCTCTACACACATAGTAATCAGGCCCGATGACTCAAGAGCCTTTCCATTTGAAATCACAGTGCCTTGAAAACATTTTAAATCAGCAAGGGCTGAGCCGGTTTGATAATTGCAAAAATACTCATGAATGTATTTGTCAATGGGTGGATGCCATTAAATCCTCTCTCTCTTGTAAAGTTTTTCTTGTAATTCAAGGAAAAGCCCAGGCTGCATGTGAACACCATCCCCAAAGTCATTTCTGTGGAAATGAGGTTATGTTCTGGAATTGTAACTATGCTCAACCTGGTCAGAGAACAAGGTGACAAAGAAATGGTCACTTACTTCAAAACTGTTTTTGCACTGCTGCAGTCTTCAAACCTAATCGAGTAGCCGACCTCTTGACCCAGCATGACATCCATTTCATCAGCTACTCTCTGTGCTACGCTCATGGCAGCCACCCTCCTGGGTTGAGTACAAGCTACGCCACGCTTGGGTCCTACCACAGCACGCACAGAATCAACACACCACTGAGGAATCTGTACAAACAGAAATGTGGGCAACACAATTCATTTTAAACACTCAAATATACATTTTAAAATATGTCCTACATGATTTTTAAGACACTGTCAAATTTTGATACTTTCACCGGCATACTTAATTTATGTACTGTAAGGAGTATACAGTGGACATGATCTCAGCAAAGATTGGGATGGGGTGGTGGGGGAGAGGAGGAATTCAATTAAGATCATTCCTCTTTGATTTTTCAATGCAAGAAAGCTACCCGGCAAATGGATTTTCATGGGCATATGAAAACAAAACATACACAACACCCCAAACCCCAGTATGGGAGTTTCATGGAATCTCTAATGCTCATCTGAATGCTTTAATGTTCCCTTGATCTAAAATAAAACATCTGTGAAAAAGCAACATTTTCCTCAGTCCTTCACGAGTGGCAACTTAAGACGACCACCTAAATAGATCTACGAAGCTTGAACCAACAACTTTCTGACCCAGAGGCAAGAATGCAACAAATAGAGCCAAGCTGCCAGTCTTATTAACATTCTTACGGTGCATGTTAAGCTATGTTATATAAATCAAACTCCTGCTGAGAACCAGTGAATGGAAGAGAATAAATCACTGCTGTTGTGGCCACAGAGCTCAGTCAAAACAATCTACAAACCCGTCGCCAAGTTCTACAGTGATCAAACAACTAGAAATTAATGCTAACTGAAGCAACGTATGCACACTTTCAGGATTTCAATAATTTTGAGTTGGTGGCTTCCAGCACCCTAGCTTTCAAGTCCCCATTGGTGCAGTCTTTTAAATCAAAGGTTGTCTACTTTTCAAAGGATGATTCCTCAATAGAAAATACAAGTACCAACAATAATTTGTATTTATAGAGTGCCTTTAATGTTGGGAGGATGTCTCACACAGCTGACTAGAGCCCGCAATATAGCGGGCGGGGAGAGGAAGGAAAGAAGGCGATCGAAAGAGCTGTCAAAAATATAGGTCTTTTTAAGGGGCGCTTTAAAGGGAGGGGGGGCAAGATGGAGTATTTCCGAAAGCAGGGCTGAATGGCTGACAACACATGTCAGCACTTGATAATCACTGAACCATCAAACATCATTCCAAAGATGCATGGTTTTTATATTCCTTCCATTCCTACTGGCTCGTGTTGTTCACACATCAGAGGTCTAGGGGGCTGAATGCACCTAACCTCATTATCTTTAGAATAATAGGGAAAGAGTAAAAAAAATTAAAAGTGGGTTATATTTGGAAACCTTACAAAAACAATGATTCTAGGGCATTTCAAGACTCGTTAGCTTAGTGTCATAACTCCAAGTTTACATTCATCTTTGTTACTGATCACCTCAATACTTGCAGCTGGGAAATCTTACAATAATATTTATGTTCAAATCCCAGTGTGTGCCAAACAAGCTATCAGCTAGGGAATCTACAATTGGCTTCAGATCCCCATGGGTTAGGAACGGGGAGCTAGAAGGGGGGTGGAAAGCAATTAAATGCTGAGAATAGGGTTGGGTGAAAGGAAAATGGCAGAAAAAAAATAACTAACACTCTGGAGGAGTTCTAAGATTTGTAAGATGTCATGAACAGGCAGTGAGGGTTCACTCTTGGCCTAATAGTTGCTACTCTATTGTTAATTAACCAGTGATGCAGCCATTTTATATTGATATGGTTAGATTTAAAAATAAGCAATAAGATTAACAAATTATGTTATCTGCAATAGCCCAACCCAGCCAAAATACACACTACAAAGTGATCACTTTTATCGAGAATTATTCCGAGCAGACAGCTAAATGTTGCTCACGCAGTTGTTAAACAAGAAATCACTGAGAAATGTGCAAGTGGGTCAATCACATACACATTTTTGCAACTTGTGTGCTGATCTTGCAGTTCTTAATACTCGCTACAACCCATGCTTCAGTCTAATCTTAATCGCAAATGACATGGCATTGAGCATAAAAACCTGGGGGTTTTCAGCATTCACAATACCAAGGCACTGAGAAGCAAGCATTATATTACAACACAAAGGTGTTTTACCAATAACATAGCCTATGCATGGTTGGCCTAAGACTCTTGCCCCAAGTGCCCTGCAGTCATATCTGCTATTTGCCATCTGCAAATACACCTGAACAAGCAATTCCACATCCAAGCAACATTGAAACCAACCTGTGTTGTTTTCCCAGAGCCAGTCTCACCGACCAACACAAAGGACTGATGTTTGGTAAGGATTTCGTTGAACCTCTCCTTGTAATCCCACACAGGTAACTGTAGTCTCTTCTTCAGGATCTCATAGTAGCGTGGTGTGTGGGGCAGGTTGGTGAAGGGATTGATAGCCTGCTGATGAAGTGCTGGAGCTGTGATTAAAGGCATTCCACCCGTCATCAAGTTTGGACTGGATAAATTTCTTGAATCTTTCTCTCGATCTCGATCTCGGTCCCGATCTCGGTCCCTATCGCGGTCTCGATCTCTGTCTTTGGACCGATCATAATCTTTGTCTCGGTCTCTATCTCGATCTTTCCTGCTGAAGGAATAAAAATGTACAAAAGGTTAAACTGTGATCGCGTCAACCAAAGACTGAGTTTCTGAAATGGACTCCTTTTGAAAGTAAGGTCTATTTTAAAGAGAGATACCTTCTTCTGGCCACTAGAATGATTTTTGACTCACTGTTATTTTGTGATATGCTGTACCAATTGATAAGGCTGTAAGAAAATCTTGGCCGTAATATTGTTGCGAAAAAACCAACTTTTAACACATATGCCGCAACTTTTAATGACCACTCCGCACTCTCATTGGACCCCTCGGTAAGCTGGTCTGATGGGAACATGTAGATATTTGAACTGACGGCACCAAAACTACAACTTTGACAAATTTCACGATTGTTCAGTTTATTTAGTTGTTGGGAATGAAAGAATCCACATCTCTATTCTCATTTAGACTGCAGATTTCAAAGATCGCAGCTATAAATCCAATTTATAACCTGTGATCTCAAGAGGAAATTAATTCTCATTTCTAATAACTCTTAAGGGTATTCTTTTCAAGATAATGTTTAGACATCTCATTATTAAATTGAAGCATGCAACGGTGTTCTTTTATCTAAAGAAAGGTAATGTAGGACATGGATTCAAGTTACCTCAGCAAGAATAAAACTATAGCATGTATCAGTACAATGTAACAAATGGAGTCTGGTACATTTAAAAAAGCAACCCTTACAGCCTTTCACGTCAGGACATCCCAAGAGCAGGCCATAATCTAATGTGCAGAAGAACTTCACTTCCCTTGTTTCAATGTGATTCCAATGCTTGCCGGTAAAGGCACATGCAGCAACTGGTCAAGATGCATTGAAACATAGTTTTGACCCATTACTGCATGCACACTTACAGGCTGCATTAAAATAAGCATGCATAGTATAGATCGATTAAATCAGATTTTATGTGATTTATGTAAGTTTGCCTCCAAATCGGACTTCTCGCAAGTCATTAAATGCCATGGCCCCGATTGATACGACTTATGTGAGTTTTACTAAATTTAAAATAATGAGGGACAGACTGGAAAGATAGGGAGGGAGACTCTTTACTCTGGTGGCAAGATCCATAACAAGAGGAAATAAGATCTATCATGATCCAATAAAATAACAGAATTGGCTCATCAGCTATGTGCTTATGTCCTTAACCTCCATATAAATACTCATGGTCTGCATAAATATTATAGCACAGGAAAAGGGAAATCAGTCCACTGAGTCTGTGCTGGTGTTAGCTTCTCCAATAGTTACATCCTAATCAAAAGTCTGCGCTCTTTTATGTGGTTTCTCATCAAATACTTAACAATTTCCCTTCCATATACTAAGTGCCTCAGCCTCAATTACCATTTGTGGCAATATATTTTACGTTCCTTTTCATGAAAATATTTTATATTCTCTCTATTAACTCTTCAAGTGGCAATCCAGCACAATGCCCTGATGTTACCCCTTGGCTGTCCTATACGTCCTATAATGGGGCACCCAGAAACGTATGCAGTACTCAAATTGCACCCTAAGCAACATCAGCAGTCCAAGTCACTATCCAGCATGAATGAAGAGTACTGTATAGATGCAAGTTTCAAGCAAGTTGTTGTTTGCTGCATTTTCATTCGATTCAATCCCCACCTCAACACACCCAATTCCCTTTTGCTTTGTTGGCTTCTGTACTTTAATTCCCACCTTTTAAGATCTAAGTATATCTACACTTTCCTCCCCCCCAATCCACAAGCCTTTCTTGTCAGCTAGACTTTCATTAACCACATGTGCCTACAAGATCTCCACATTGTAAGTGGACTCGCGCCATAGCAAAGTGCTATATAAGGGGTCACCCAGGACTCTGTTCAATTAACCACTCGTAGACTACAATACCGCTTAAAATTTTAGCAGGGGCTTTTAAATAAAATCATAATTTTTTTTAAAATCTAGTTTTATCTGCAAACCGCTCTATGTATTGACTCAAAAATTTTAATTTATTTTCCACAAACAGGGTTGTGCTCTCTCCCAAATTTTATTTCTTCTGATAGTTTGATCAAACCACTCTTTAGTTCACAATTCAATTCTACATTCATCTATTTCTTCAATATTGTATCTCACCAACCACACTGCATAAAATGTCTACCCCTCTTGCAGACTGAATTAGTAAATGTTAGTAAATATGTTCCAAACCAGTCGATGGGCCAATAATCTAGTTTCCAGGCCGTGGTGGTGGGGTAAAGAATGTAATTCCTCAAAGATACCGAGGTTCTATTCTTAATGCTCCGTTAACCTTCTGGCCCTCACAAACACCTCGAATTTCAAATAAAATTCTTCTATCTTTCAAAACTAAAGCAATCTCCAAAAAATTATTCCTCTTTCATGTTAAAACTTGTTTTCCTCTGCTCAACAACTCTCCCAAGTTGTTTGTCCATGGCTTCAATAATGTTCCCACATCAGGAGGAAATGGAGGGGGGGGGTGTAAGAGTCCCTCTAGAGCCTGTCCTGCGCCCCTGGCCAGAATACAAAAAAAGTTTCTCATTTGAGGCCAGAAAACCTGCATGGTCTTAGTCTTTGAGAACAGTGTCAAAATTTCACTTTGTGCAAATTGGAAAATTTGAAAATGTCAGTCTTAGTATAGAAACCATTTTACTTCAGTGTCGGACTTCCCCCCTCATCCAAAAAAATTAAGATCTGATGTAAGAATTTTCTAAAATTCTGTACATCCTAAAATTTCAAATCCTTACCTTCAGGTTTCATTCTTTCCCCGTTGCAACCTTTTACTTTTTTATTGACACAAACATGATCAAAACTTGCTCACATTTCCTTCCAAATATTTTGCCTTCATCCTTGTTGCATCGATATCAAAACTTTGTAGCATATCCCACTTAATCTCTTTATTTACCTCAGCTACCCCATTACAATCTATAGACTAATTGGTGACCAACATTTTGTTTAAAGCAAAGAATTTAACTTTGATACAAAGATTTGACATGAGTCATATGCATGAATATTAAGACAGAGGGATATATGAAACGGGACACAAATGCTGCTTCAAATTCTAGGTCAGAACTTTGAGCTATAGTCCATGGTGACAATCTTGTGCATTGCTTGGAGTGTCAAAGGTGCAATCCTTCAAAGCAGCTCAATTTGAGTTACTGTCTCCCTTTTAACTGGATGTTAAAGATCCCATGACATCATTGAAAATAGGAGTCCTCGTCAACAATTTGGCCATTTACTTCAAGGCTGTTTGTGGGATGTTCCTCTGTGTAAATTGGCTGCTGCATTCCCCTACAAAATACAGTCGCTACACTTCAGCGCAATTGCTGCAACGTTTTTTTTGAGATGATTCAACATTATTGGCACTATACCAAAACAACAATTAATATTAACTAACTTTTTCTGCTATCTTGTGCTGCTTTTATATTATAAAGCTGATTACACCAATTTAACTACTCAAGAAGTGATACTGTCAAATTTAACATTGCTTTTAACGCAATGGCACTTTTAAATGCAAAAAATCAATGTATTAACATATGACTGAATTGTGTAAATATATATACATATAGGATGTTCTGTAAGCATTCAGTTGTAGAAAGTTAGAGCTCATCCAGGACTTGATGTCCAACTGGCAATTGGTCAGAACATCAGTGGTCCTGGAATTGAGGATGGAGGCAGAGATAGAGTTGGGTGTTATTTGCATACAAATGGAAGTTAACCCCATGCCTGTGGATGACATCACCAAGTAGGGGCATGCAGATATTAAAAAGGAGAGGACCAAGGATTGAGCCTTGAAGAACGCCGCATGCGACAGTGCGAGGGCAGGTGAAATCATTCCAGGAGACAAAGTGGAGATGATAGGATAGGTAGGAGAGGACAGAACGTGAAGGTGGAGCTGAGAGCAGAGAAGGATAGGGTGATTGATAGCGTTGAAGGTGGCAATGACACTGAGAAGAACAAGGAGATAGAGCAAGCCCAGGTCGAGGAAGGAATCAAAGGAGAACCTGGTGGGTCTCATACAGGAAACGCGGGATGATCGGGATAAAGGAGACTGGAGCAAAAGTGTGGAGGTAGGAATGGGAGAAGGCGACAGCGACAGAGGAGTTTTGGACACAAGGAATTTGATTATCTCTTCACATTTGGAACTGGAGGAGGATGGGAAAAGCACCGGATAGTGGTTAAAGGAAGCAACTTGTGGTGGAGAAAAGGAGCCTTGGGTTGTCCTTGGCCTTCAGGATGATCAAAGAGGACAACTTTTTTATTATTATTATTATATTATAACTTGGCTTATGATGAGGGCAGAACGGTAGATTTTGGTGCATGGTTCAGCCAGATCTGGCAGCAGATCATTAAGATGGATTTAAGCCATAGGCACATTCAAAGAGGTGTGATTTAAGGTGGGTGGTGAGTGGTAGAGGGAGGGAGTTTCAGAGGTTAGCGTTGTACGAATTGAAGGCTCAGCTCTCAATAGTGACACAGACAGGGCTGGAAACACTCACCAAACCAGAGTTAGCTGAGTGGAGTACTAAGAATACCATCGACTGCAAGCTCAGATTTTGTTTAGTCAAAAAATTTCAAATGTAGTAGGTGCGGACAGACATTAAGATGCAGCAACTCGTCTTTGAAATTTCAATTTGGGGAGGTGGAAAGGAACTGCAGCTTAAATTCATGTAGTATTTTTCACATACAAGAAAATCTCAAAGGACTTGACAATATCCAACAGGCACATAAGTGATTTGAAGATTCAAATGAATGATAAGTTCATTAAAAATGGAAGACATATTCTTCCTTGCAGCAACAGACAATTTGATCAGATAGGACATCAAGGTGGGAATAAAGCTTCAGGTAGCAATTTGAAGCTTCAAATAATGTGTCAATGCACAGCATAAATTCAAAATCTTTTAGTGCCGGCTATTGTGTAACAAAGCCTTGAAGTGCATGATCCTTGCTGAGTCATTCAGCTAATTACGGAGTTTTCTTCTTGCATGTTGAGCTTTTCCTCCTTGAAGCACATTTGAAGTTCTCCTCACCAGCCACATGACTACCATAAACCTGTCCCCTTTCAGATTCTGCATAAAACGGTCATGGTGTTTAATATAATGATAATCCAATATGAAACATCAAAATAAGAATAATCCTTGCATTTGACAGAACACCTTTCACATCAAGAGAACGTCTCAAAGCGCTTCAGAGAATTTACTGTGAAGTGGAGTAACCTTGTTTTTTGTGGTTGGACACGGCAGCCAATTTGTGCACAGCAAAGTCCCACAAAGAGCCTTGAAGTGAATGACTAATTATTTCTGGGGAATGTTGACAGGACAATGAGCCAAACTCCCTTCTCTTTTTGAATAGGATTTTCAGGCCAAATGTACTGCCCAATCACTGACTAAGCTATTCGAACACTGTAATATCACCCATTAAAAGCCTATTATGATGCTAGCTCCTCAGCTGGAGCCAACTACCAATTCTCTGCTCTTTTAAATATTGTCATTGGCTCAGACCAAACCACACTGCATAATACATTTAGACATGGAGGCATCATACACTCTTGTGCAATTTTATCTTCAAGAACTTGGTTCTTGTACTGAAATCACATAAAATCAAACTTCAATTGCAAATAGTCACCCAAATGCAGAACCCATTGACTTGTATTTTCTGTATTCAGCAATCGCTGAATTAAGACAATGTGCAAGAAAAATACTTTGGCAGTGAATATGCTTCTTACGCTTCCCCAGAAAGTAAAATTATCTAAATGTCCGATTGTTTTCTGAATTCTTCATGGAATTTTTAAAATCTTTCTCGGCGTTGAGGAGAGAGCACTAAGCTCAGAGTATTTTTGTATCAAATGGGATGATGATTTGTTCTGAAACAAATCAAACAAGCCACTTTCGATATGGGAACCCCAAAGTTGAAATGTAAGGCATAATCCCTCAAGTTTCCCCAGAAACAAAATATTTATGGTGATGCCTCCACTGAGCCATAAAGTATAGCATTAGTGAGGGAGAGGAGATGGGACTCAACCTGGAGACGTGAAACTGCCTCTAAAATTTCAGTAAAACACATTCCAAGTCCAAGGGCATCCAATATACTTCACCATCATTTGGTCTGGAGAAAATCTTGAGTCACTGGTGTCCGTTCCCTTGCTTTTACCTTCTTAGCTTAACCACTAATTAACCACAATTTGGACAACCTACCAATATGAAACTTCTCCTAATGAACATGTTGGCATGCTTTTGAAGGACTCCTTATCAGAATGGTGGGGGAAGCGGTTCTAGAGGAAGAGGGAATTCAAACGGCCTCTAACCAAAGTAAAAATTTACATGGTAGACACCAACCAAAATGAGTTAGTCACATACAAAGACTAGGGAGTGCATAAAATGAACTAAGCACGCTTTGACTGGACTGAAAATTAACTGAAATTTCTAGACAATAGTCTAATAAAGCTCCAAACAAGCACAAGAGGATAAACTCTTCCAATCACAGGTGGCATTTGAAAGATCCTGATAATTGGCTTAAGGCTGTTTCTTTTAAACCTGCAATAACCTTCACCAGTACTGTCCTTTGTTTTATTTAACCCTAAAAAAAAGTTGTGGTTTGCATTAATTTGTGGCCTTAAGCTTTCTGCTAACCCGAAAGAAAGCTGCCTTCTCACCAACCCAAACACTGATCCCAATGAAACAAACACCACATGAAGCAAAATCTATTATTTATAAAACTCTTAAGGATTAACACACCACCAATATTATTATCTCAACGTCCTAGTTTGTCATTTTGACCATGGGCTAGTTACAAGCCACCCAAAATAAAGGTAACATCTTTATTATATGTAATCTGTGAACAGAAATAAATATCCTAGTGCTCAACTTCAAAATATTTTAAGTTTCCTGCTCTCAATGACTAAATCCTAGGATCAAAGATGAAAAAAAAAACTTTTGACAAATACTTTTTTTAAAAAAAAAACAGTGGACAATCTTTACTTAGTGATCATCTTGTGTAATTTGTTGGCACAGCACAAGCTGACCTGTAAAGGGGCTTCCACTACCAATGAATGCAGATGCCCTTCAAAAAATTGATGAGGAATACAAGGCCTAGGATAAGTTATTGAAAGGCGTTACCTGGATTCCAGGTTCAAGAACACTCTCAGATACCCAGGCCTTGAAATCCACTTCTTTGGGTTCCAGAGAGGAAAGGAGCAGCTGCCACAGCTCTGTACCTCCAAATGGTGGAACCATCACTCAATGAATAGGGATGTGTGACCGAATAGTGGATAGCAGGATAGTGGCAAAGCTCTCATGCATTTCTTGCTTAGCTAACAACAACAAGATTGCATTTATAGTGCGCCTTTCACGTCGGGAGAACGGCCCAAGGCACTGGACAGTTGCGTCGGGACCCGAGCAGGGGGGAAATGGTCAGGGTGAGGGGAGGGAAGGGAGGGAGCGAGGAGCTAAGCTTCACACCAGGATGCTCGAATAACTTCTGCATCTAATGAGGGCTCAAACGTGTGTTGCATGTCAAATGACCAATTAGTGACAATCCTCCTTGGAGGGGAGATTAGTGGGTCTCCTTGGAGATGCGTTGGTTTCAAGGTGACAAATTTAGGATTGGAATGTTGGAAGTAAATCAACTCTATGGTAGTGGCTAGTCTGGTCCCAGACAGCCTGCGTTATTGGTAAGACTTGCAAAGGTGTCACTGTGAGCAGGGATTCTTCTTGCTCGGGTCCTGTTAACCATGCAAGCCAAACCCCTAATGGGTAGGAGGACGGTCCCAGCTGGATAAGCAGTGGAAGCTTGTGCTAGATAGACAGTGCGATCATGTTACAATATGCTATTTTAGCTGGTTAGCAGTACCCCAAAAACACTCCGATTGCCTTTTGCCAAGTTGTGCATCATATTTTCTGGAATTAGATAAACAGGCGCACATGGGAAACAGTGTGCATTCATTCCAGACGCAGGGAAATGTTCATGTTTAGATGCTATGTACATGTGGAACTCAGTCTAGGTAATAATAATCCTTGATTTGATATAGCGCTTTTTCACGTCTTCAACGTCTCAAAGCGCTTCACAGAATACACTGTAAAGTGTATTGACTGTATATTTGTGGGCGAAACGCGGCAGCCAATTGTGCACAGCAGTGTCCCACAAATAGTCGTGGATTGAAAATGACCAATTTATTATTGTTTTGATTTTTTGGAGGGATTATTATTAGGCTCTGTGTGGAGTAAGGAAACTTGCCCAAGGTTTCACCCTCTGCCTGGAATTGAACTCAGGTCTCTGACTTGCGAGGCGAGTGCTCTAACCAGTGAGCCACAGGACTCCAGGTAGATAGTATAGTCTATCTATAGGCAGATAGTTTTAAGCACGGTGATGAGTTTCTGCAATGCATCGGACGCCCGGCTGACCAAAAATGATAATGCAATTTGTAGATAAATTGTTATGGGGGTCTTCAAACTAGATGTAGTCTTACAGCAAGGGACTGCAAACAAACAGTACCTGGGCCTGTCTATCAGCCCCATACCCGGCATCCATCTCCTGGAGAACACATTTGGGAATGGTCCACGTTTTGACTTTAAACCTACACGCCTCAGCCTGCGTGAGAAACATAACTCGGGACTGGATGACCACAGCTCGGCTTACCCTTGCGAGACCATTTTGTTTTCAAATTGAAGATCGGGGGGGGGGGGGGGGGGGAATTATGGAAACTTCTGGGGGGGGGAAAAACCTCTGAAGGCTGATCGTATTCCACGGAAATTAAAAACGGCACAAAAAAAAGGTGACCCCCCCCCCCCCCCAAAAAAAAAGTTAAGAAACCAGGCCTCTCCCATTCCTATTCCAATGGACATTTCGGGCCTTTCGCGGAGAGCCCCTTTTGGAAGCCTCTCTCGCCGTTTAATCTGCTGTGTGGACGGGGGCTTTGACCGTCGCCCGAGTTTAAACATAACTGCACGGTGCGAAATGCGCCGAGTCCGGACACGAAAGGCGGGACTCGGGCCGGCGATCACCGGGGGCGGGGGTTACAAACCGAGAAATAGCTTCAGTTCCCCCCACCCCCCGAAAAAAAAACACACACACACACACAAGCGAAACAAGAAAAAAAAGAGAGAGGGAACGACCGTATTTTCCTCCTCCTCCTCTCCCAAAATACGAGCTGACAACAACCGACTGAGCCGATTCCGCGCCTCGACACGAACCCCCCCTCCAAACAACAGCCCCACCGAGCGGAACAATAGGAGAGCGGAGAGGGGTGGGGGAGCCATCCCGGGGGGGGGGGGGAGGGGAGGGCTCTCTCTCTCTCCCTCTCCCTCTCTCACCCCGAACCACCACCATCAATCACCGAAGCACATTCTGCCCCCCGAACAAAACAAAAAAAAAATCCCTCACAATAACGTGGCCCGAGAAACGTGGCCCGGCCATGTGCGTAAACAAGAGCAGGGCCGCCGAGAAGGGCGGCGGGCGGGGGGGGCGGGAAGGAGAGGGGGGGGGAACAGAAAAGTTGCCTCCAGCGGCTTCCATGTCGCGAACAAAGAGACGAGAGAGAAAATACAGCGATACAAGAGGGAGGGAGGGAGGGGAGGCCTCGTGTTTGCGGGTTCGGGCTGTCCTGGGGGTTGATTACCTGCGGTGGAACATTCCCGGGTAAACCGAGCGAGCGAGCGACCCGACCCGAGCGACCGATCAGCAGCAGCAGCAGCAGTAGGCCCCGGCCTCCCCGCCACCAAAAGCCCCTTCAGATCGGCTCCCCCTTCCCGTGCGGGGCGAGGCGAGACTGAGCGGAACCAAGAGCCACTTCCCCTCCTTCCTTCCTTCCCTCCCTCCCTCCCTCCCTCTCACACCACCACCACCACCCGCCGCTAAAAACCCGCCGCGATTCCCGCTCTTTGCTCCACTCCACTCCGCCGTCTCCGGAGGCCGCGCGTGCGCCTTTCCCGATTGCCGCCGCTCTCAATGCAAAAAAAAACTGTGTGTGTGTGTGTGTGAGAGAGAGAGAGTGTGAGGGGGGGGGGAAGGGGGCGTGAGGAGGGGGGGGGTGGGAGGGAAGGGGGTAAAGAGAGAGCGAGAGAGAGGGGGGGGGGGGGCAGGGGAGGAAAATAGGGAAGGGGGTAAAGAGAGAGAGAGAGCAAAGAAAACACCCCCCACTCTCTCTCGTGTATGTGTGTGTGTATATATGTATATGTGTGTGTGTGTGTGTGATGGTGAGGCCCGAGCGCACTCAGGCTGATGCTCAGCTACAGGCCTCTCAGCCCTGTGCCCTCCCGGGGGGTAACTTACCCGTCCGACGTGAGCCGCTTCTTGTTGGAAGCGTAATCGTCCCCCAGATCCACTCGGTGCCGCTTGGACATGGTTCAGCCTCGCGCTCCTCGCCGCCGCCGCTGCTCCGGTGTGTCCCGGGGCCTGGCCGCTGTGGTGTGTCCTGGGGCCTGGCCGCTGTGGTGTGACCGGGGGGGCCTGGCCGCTGTGGTGTGTCCCGAGGCCTGGCCGCTCTGGTGTGTCCCGAGGCCTGGCCGCTCTGGTGTGACCGGGGGCCTGGTGTGTCCCGGGGCCTGGCCGCTGTGGTGTGACCGGGGGCCTGGTGTGTCCCGGGGCCTGGTGTGTCCCGGGGCCTGGCCGCTCTGGTGTGTCCCGGGGCCTGGCCGCTCTGGTGTGTCCCGGGGCCTGGTGTGTCCCGGGGCCTGGTCGCTCTGGTGTGTCCCGGGGCCTGGTGTGTCCCGGGGCCTGGCCGCTCTGTTGCGTCCCTCTTATCCGCCTCGGGTGCACGTTCTGCGCTGCCTGTCCCCGGGGCTCCGACCTCGCGGCGCCGATTTCCGGGCTGGGACAGGACTCAGCCTTTGGCCTCGTCAGCCGCCTGTCTGGTCGGTCGGTCTGTCTGTCTGTGTGGGTGGGTGGGTGGGTGTGTGGGTGGGCGTCGCTCTCTTCGCCCACGGGCCGCGCCGCGCAGCACCGCACACACACACCGGCTTTTTAAGCGGACGGGTGGACTCTCTCTCTCTCTCTCAGTCAGTCACTCACTCACCACTCACTCACTCCCTGTCGGTCGGTCTGTCTCTGTCCTGCGGCCCTCACAAGATGGCGGGTCGGAGAACAAGACTCGCTCACCTCGTTCTCGTCCTGTCACACCGCGGGACCACAGTAAGGGGTGGAGAGAGAGAGAGAGAGAGACACACACACACGCACAGACAGACAGACAGACAGACACAGAGGAAGCGCGGGCCGGCGGGCGGGCGGTGTTGGGGGTGAAAAAAAAATGCGCTGCTGGACATCTCGGATTTTTTTTTATTATTATTTTGCTCCGGGACTCCCCGTGTCGGCCCCCGACCCGAAAAGAGCCCCCAGATGCGAGGTTCAGGGGAAGGTCCCGAGAATGGAAGCGCGGCACCGGAATTATTCTCGACTCCCCCCACACCCCCACACCCCCCGGGTCTGACCGGGCCTTTTAGTTTTTCTTCCCCCCTCCCTCCTCCCCTCCTCCTCCCCACACGGCGGCTTCATGAACGCTTTGCCGTCAACGACGACGAGATTCGACCGTTCCCATTTTGTTTTCGCGCAGACATTTAAGTTGGGCCCTACGTCTTCCGCGACTCGCGTGAGCAGTCGTGCAGAGTGTGGTGGTGGTGGGGGGGGGGGGGCCCTCGGGAATAAAAATCCCGACTGAAGCAGCAGAGCCATCCCGCAACCGAGACCCCAGTGCGAGGGTGTACGCGTTGTGATGGTCATGGTTGCGTTTCGGTGTATCCCGTTGGCCGGCGCTTCACCACTGAAGCTTTATGCCTCCCAGACGTGTCTCCAAGTGCTTCACAGCATTTACTCTCAAATGTAGTGACGCTGTGTTTTGTGCCCATTTGCCCGCAGCCCTGCCTCACGCACGGCCGTGAAATAATCCTTGCGTTTGATACAGCAGCTTATGTCTCCCAGACTTCCCGAAGCGCTTCACAGAACATATTGTAAAGCGAATTGCAGGTGTATTTTGTGCGAGACACGTGGCACCCCATTGCGCACGGTAATGTCTCGGTTGTGGATTCGGTGACCAAATTATTTTTTTGAAGGAATTATTATCCCCGAAAAAGCAATCCACCAATTGACTGACGATAGGGTTCCTACTTACTGCTATTTAAGCAGGCATGTGGAGTAAGAAAATTTCGTCCAGCATTTCGTCCTGCCGGGAACCAAACCCAGGTCCTCTCGTTCACTTGCCATGAAGTCAATGACCAATGTTATAAGAACGTAAGAAATAGGAGCAGGAGTAGGCCATTCGGCCCCTCAAGCCTGCCGCGCCATTTAATAAGATCATGGCTGATCTTCTAACACAATACCATTTACCCGCCCTATCCCCATATCCTTAACCCCTTCAGTTTTTTTAAAAAATCTATCAATATCAGTTTTGAATATGTTCAATGACTGAGCATCCACAGCCTTCTGGGGTAGAGAATTCCATAAATTCACTAACTCCTGAGTGAAGAAATGTTTTCTCAACTCAGTTTTAAAGGACTGACCTTTAATCCTGAGACTATGACCCCTAGTTTTAGGTTCTCCAACTGGGGGAAACAGTCTCACGGCATCTACCCTGTCAAGAATCTTATAGGTTTCTATAAGATCACCTCTAATTCTTCTATATTCTAGAGAATATAGGCCTAGTCTACCCAACCTCTCCTCGTAGGTCACCCTCTCATCCCAGGAACCAACCTAGTGAACCTACCTTGCACCCCCTCTAAGGCAAGTATACTCTTTCTTAGATAAGAAATATCTGGAGGTTTGTTGGGAAACTCCCTTCTCTTTTTCAAATAGTGCCATGGGATCTTAACATCCACTTGAACAAAAAGACAGGACCTTGACAAAGCAGACAGGACCTCAGTTTAACACCTCATCCGAAGAATAAAGTTCTTTGTAAAGACCCGATCTTTCAACTAATTCCACTTATCAGCCCTTTTTTGATTACATTGTGTCATTGTACCCCCGGCTTAGTGTCATTTTGCAAATTTAACACCTTGAAAATACAGGTCATACATGTATGCATGGAATACAAGGGTTCTCAGTATAGTCCGTTGATTAGTCCCATTTAACTGCCCCAGTTTGACGTATCTTCCCTAATGATTACCTTCTTCCCTTAAACCATTGATACCCAATGACATCAGTTTGTGAAGACATTGTTTATGTGATGTTTGTCAAAGGCCTTTTGAAAGTGAGTACATTAGGTTATATGTCTTCCACAATCAATTTTGTATGTCACATCCTCATTAAAGTCTATCAGGTTGATCAGACAAGATCTACAACTTCTGAATCTATTCTGGCTGTCATTTATTTTTATGCAGGTAATAATAATCCTTGCATTTGATATAGCGCCTTATCACGTCTTCTAGATGTCTTAAAGCAATTCACAGAATATACTGTAAAGTGAATTGACTGTATATTTTGTTAGCGAAACACGGCAGCCAATTGTGCACAGCAGTGTTCCAGAAATAGTTCTAGATTGAGTGACCGCATTTATTTTTAAGGGATTATTACCTTGATACACCAATCGACTAACAACCGAGTTCCAACTTACTACTCGGTGTGTGGAGTAAGGAACCTTGCCCAATGTTTCATCCTGCCCAGGTCTTGAACCAATCGCGAGGTGAGAGGACCATACTACTCCATACTCCATACATTCTGATGTTTGACTCCCATGATTTTCAATAAATAATCCTCGCTCCCTCCCTTATTATGCCTTTGAGACGTCTCAAAATGCTTCATGGAATATACTTTAAAGTATATTTTGTGGGCAAAACACAGCAGCCAATTGCGCCAGTGTCCCACAAACAATCATGGATCGAGTCACCAATTTTTTTTAAAAGGATTTATTACCCCCAGAAAAGTGATCCACCAACTGATTAACAACTGGGTTTCTATTTACTGCTAGATAAACAGAGGCATAAGGAAATTTGCCCAACATTTTGCCCCACCTGGAAATCAAACTCAGGTCCTCTCGCTTGCGAGGCAAGTACTCTAACCAATACACTTCACCAAGCCAGTCAGGAACCGAGACGTCTTGTTCGACCCTCAACTGTCCTTTCTCCCCCACATCCATGCGATGACCGGCTCTGCCTTCCCCCACCTCCGGAACATTGCCCAACTCCGTCACTGCTCACCCCTCATGAATCCAGTTGTTAGTCAATTGGTGGATCACTTTTCCAGGGGTAATAATTCTTTCAGATAAAATAAATAAAATAATAATATTGGTCACTCAATCCATGACGGTTTGTGGGACACAGCTTTGTGCATTAGCTGCCACATTTTGCCCACAAAATATACAGTCAATTCACTTTACAGTATTTTCTGTGAAGCACTGAGAGACATCTCGAAGACGTAGTAAGGCGCCATATCAAATGCAAGGATCATTATTATTAATTTTTTTCTTGTATTCAATTTACTTATTTCAGTTTTAAATAGTGTTTCATATCCTGGCACTACTTCACCTCCATGGCTGCTTTGCCTCTTTAGTTTCTTTGATCTGATTGATGTCTTCTTCCTTTTTCTCCTCCGGTACTATAATCTCTTCGGTTGTTATTATATCACTACTTTTTGGTTATCCTGTATTTGCTATCTCTCCTTCATTTTGTTTTTTAATCCTATTTAGATCCCTTCATCTTTAACTTCCTCCCTGATTACCCTCTTACTTTAATATTATTGGGAACAATATTTTGGTATTATGTTTTCCTCTCTTGCTATATCCTTTTGGCCTATTGGTCACACTTCCCTTTCTCCCTGCAAAACTGTACATTTTCATTTTCTCCTTAATCCCCTTTTTTATTTTCATACTGATCTATTTTGGAGTATTTTTATTTAGTTTGTATTTAGGATGTACTTGTC